TATTGGACATATGCACACATTTCCTTTGGAGGGAGATTGCTGTGTTATATCACAGACATTTATTTTGTCTTCAATCAATACTGTTAAAACAGTTTCCCAAGTTTGGAAACAGTTTATATTGCAGTTTTCTACATCTTCACCAATATTTGGTATAGTCAGTCTTTTTAGTTATAGATATTATGAATATGTACTATGATACATATAATTTATTTATTATTTATTTATTTAATTCTGATTATTCCCAGTGACTAATGGTATTTAGCACTACTCCTTGTGCATATTGTTTTGACTGTCATCTGTAGTGTCTGTTGAATTCTTTCCTACTTTTAAATTTTTTTTCATTATCAATGGATCTGTATTTTATTTATTTCTATGTGGTGCTGAGAATTGAACCCAGAGTCTCACACATGCTAGGCAAACACTCTTGACACTAAGCTACATCTCCAGCCCTGTTGATTTCTTTCTATGCTTTAATTAGTTTTGACTGTTTTTTTCTTATTGATTTGAAGGAAGTGTTATGTATTCAAAAAGAAACTCTAATCAATTATATCTATTGCAAATATGTTCACCCAGTTTGTGTTTCTGTTTTCTTTTTGGTGAATAAAATTTCTTAATTTTAATCAAGATTTTTATCAATCTTCTCTTTCCTGATTCCTGCTTTTAGTAACTCATTGGAATCTTTCTCTGTCCCAAGGTCATGAGAAGACTTTAGAAGTTTTGTTCAGACATTTAGATTTGATTCATTTTTATTTTATTTGTTACGAATAACATGAGATTTTTTTTCATACAGATATCTGAATGATCCAGCATCCTTTATTAAAAAGATCACCTTTGGGCTCTGAGTTGCATTGGTGCTTTTATTATATCTTAAGTCACAATATATTATGTTTCTAGACCTATTTTTTATTGATCTATTTCTTCTTCCACCAATATCACACTCCCTTTATTATAACTATATAATAAATGTTGATTTCTAGTAATATAAATCTTTCAAAGTTTTTAAAGATTATGTTTAGTAGGGCTGGGGATGTGGCTCAGTCGTAGAGTACTTGCTTTGCACATGCAAGGCCCTGGTTTTAGTCCCCAGCAAAACACACACACACACACACAGACACACACACACACACGATTATGTTAGGAATAATTTGAATTTCCTTAATGATTTTAGAATTTAGAAATGTACAGATCAATTTAGGAAAAATAAAATTGAGTCTTTCATCTAATCTACAAGTACTTCTGTCTGAATTATATAGGTCCTTATTTCTCAGCAGTGTTTTGTAGTATAGCAGGGATTTTATAAATCCTTTGTTAGGTTTAGATGAGGGTATTTGATGTTTTGGATGTTATTTTTATGATACTTTTTTAAAAACCAGGGATTGAGCCTAGTGGTGCTTAACCACTGAGTAACATCCCCAGCCCTTTTATTTTAAGACAGGATCTCGCTAAATAACTTAGGACCTTGTTAAGTTGAGGAGGCTAGCTTTGAACTTGCGATCCTCCTACTTCAGCTTCTTGAGTCACTGGGATTACAGGCATGCACCACCA